TACATGTGGAATGGCTTTAGACTCTTGTTAATAATTAGTTTTAGGTCATGTAGCAGTATATGTTAGTGTTTTTTTTACATTCTGAGTTATTACACTTATATTATAAACACTGTGCAACCAGCTTCTGCAAAACTGGACACAACTACAGCTAACAGAGCAAAACATTTGAATTTGGCTGTCATGTTTGCACTGGATTCTCAACCCGTTAATATCGCAGACCCAGTTTCCCATGTAGTAACAAGAACTGTAAATCTTTTATCGAGGTTGATGTCCTTCAGTGGACTGGGACAGATGAGGCCTGTGGATCCATGTTTCTGTTGGAGATAACGCCGTTTGTTTGGTCTGTAAAATAAAAAAAAGGTTCTTTGTATTCCCAAGAGACATTAAAAAACACTCACTTTCCTGTCAGTTTAACAGAATCCAGCAAACACGCATGACTTTTCTTTACACTGCACATATTGAACTGAATCTCTCTCTTTCTCTCTCAGTTGTTAATCTCTGTCTCTCTCTCTCTTCTCTTGCGGCTTCTCTGGGGCGTCATTCCTCTCTTACATCCGTCCGTCTCTTCTCACAACCACACCACACACACAACGCATGCACACACACACACACAGGAGTGCTGATACCATCTAACAAAACACACTTACAGGCCAGATAGCGTCCAGTACCTGCTTCAACACAGCTGCTGCTACAAAAGCAGGGAGGAAACCATGGCTGGAGTTATTAGAAAAACACGACTCTGAATGCAGAGAAAGCAAGGTGGAAAAATACAGGAAGTCCTGATACAAGTGCAAAGACTGAGAGAGACAGGGGGTGATGGATGAAGTGAGGGATGCAGTGAGCTACTGGTTGAAAATACACATAAGAAGTGAAAATGTACAGAGAAACAGCTGAAGAGCCACATGTACGTGTGAGCAATTACAGCGTTTCTGCCTCTTCATTATTCACCGCTATGATGACGCAGTTTTGGGGGTTTCTGACGAGTGCAGAGCTTTGAGAAAGCAGATTTTGGAGCATTTTCTCTGTATTGAGATGACGCACTCTGTCCTTTTCTTTCTGTCTCCCTCTCTCTGTCTCCCTAATCTTGCAGCTATATTTAGTACTGGCATAATGCCCTTCCAGACAGATAAGTTGGCAACAGAATTTATCTCCTCTCCTCTTCCATCCTCTCCTCTCTCCTTCACACTTTGTAGAGAGTGATGATGGCCATCGATAATACTGTCATGCAAGCTTATCAATTTACAGCCAGTAACTGTGATATAATCATTAACTTATTACCATTCTTTTGGTCTAAAGTCTGCTCTGTAATGTAAGGAGATAATTGGGGACTCGACATCATATTGCCAACAATTTTCATCATCATCATCATCATCATCATCATCATCATCATCATCATTATAAAAGGCATAGTGCTCAGCAGTACCAGTGCAGACAGGTACTGTATGTGCACACAATACACAGACAGTATCTCCTCTCTCAGGCTCCCTCATTTGAAAACAACACACAAATACAAACTGTACTTTTGTTGAACAGCGTCCACTTAGCCTCAGCTGACAGACTGGGGTAAACATACTGTAACAGTAGCACAGGCAGAGCAGGGTCATCAGCTCAGTTACACTTTTAATACCACTTTTAGATATTTCTATTTAATGTTTTAGTCATAATAATAGATAATAATGTTATGTTTTTGAGTTAAAATATCTTAATTTGGATTTTCTAAGCATGTGTTTGCCCTAACCCACCCCTTAAAGTCTCCATCCCACCCTTTTGCCACCCCATGAATATTTCTCTAGATCTTCCCCTGTATCAAACTGAGCAAGGTTCCTTTTTTTTTTACTGAATTAAATGTTTAATTAGTAAAAGGAAGAATTGGTTAGTTTGTCTTTTAAAAAAATAATGTGTTTTCACTTTAAGTAAAAGAAGTAATATAATATACTACAGCTTTATTATCATCAAAATATACTAAACATAATCGTGATGCAGCAGAATGGCTCCAGCAAGTGTTAAATCATTATATAATATATAGCTGTATTATTACTATTACTGATGTAGCTGGCTGAACTATTGTACACACAGTCGGGTAGTTTAATCCACAGGGAAGCATTATATTATATGTGTGAGTGATGATAGTGGTATTGTTATTGATAATGGCTGAATGTTCTCTTTAATGTAATTCTGTCTCTTGCAGTATATCATTTTATGTGAGTTGGTTTTTAGCCCTTGATTTACATGACTTAAACTCGTTCTCTCCTAATGGAGCACAGGACATTCACAACTCGCCTCCATCGCCCCCGGTCCTGGGCCGCCCTCGCCACCTCTGTCCAAGTGTACTTTAGTTCTTTTGCCTCTGTGTCTTTTGACATCCTCCAGCTGTTTCTGGGTTTTCCTCCTTTTTTGTTCCCTTGTGAGTTCCATGTTCGAGCCTGTCTGGTTTTGTTTGGGTGTGTGCAATCTAACCCACTTCCTTCTCCTCATCTTGGTGTCTGGTTTGTATTGATTGGGTTTCTCCACGATTCTGAACTGTAAAGCTGCACTGATTTATAACTGGTGCTGAATATCTGGAGTTTAGTGTTTACATATTTCCTTTGAGTTGCAGATGGGTGTAACAATAGTGTAACAAATAGCCTTCCCACTTTGGGTTTGACTGTCTGCGTCTGTCCCTCCATCTCAGGTGTGGACGTCTTCTGGCTCTGCTCCTTCCAGTCGGATGGGGTCATTGCTGGTGCTGTTGATGCACGTTACCTTAAGGGTCTTATCTATGTTGTCTTGGCTGATGGTTTGTCTTTGTTTCCCTTCATTAGACAGGACAGCTTGAAAGATGGACAGCTAAGGGGGGAGAGAGAGGTGGGAAAACATGCAGCAAAGGACCACAAGTTGAATTTGATGGCTGCTGCAGCAAGGCCTCAGCCTTGGTACCCGGGAGCCATACAAGATAATTTTAAAGCTATAGTAAAGTTGAACTGGTCACAAAGTAACAAGTAACCTAGCTCTAAAATAAATTAAAAAGTACAATATTTGCCTCTGAGGTTTATCTGAGTAGCTGAGGTGGTAAAAGGACACACATTCAAATAGAAGTACAGATATTTGTGGAAAAAAAGACTGGAAAAGTAGAATTACTGATTCAACTCTCTCTCTCTTGTTGATTTTGGGAAGGTTTGTCAAAAAATGGATGGTGTAAATTAAAAAGTTACTAATACTCATGTAAAGTTACCTGAAAAAACTACTTAAGTAGCTAAGTATTTGTACTTTGTTACTTCCCACCTCTGTGGAGTAAAAGTATAAAGTATCATAAACTGGAAATACTCAGTACAAGTACCTCCTAACTGTACTTGAGTAAATGAACTTCGTAATTTTCCGTCACACTGCGTGGGGCTGCACACCTTTGTACTCTGGCAGCTTCTGACTCAGCAGTACAAATGAGAGGAGGACACGGAACAATATTATGTCTCATAACACCACCTCACATCACACACACGCTTACTCTGTACCCAACTCCCAGGGTGTCACTGTAATCTAAAGTGGCTGTTTACCTTTCATTACCGTCAAAAGGAGAGATTAAAACAAAGAGATGAGGTCAAAGCAGAGGGATGTTCGCCGGGGACAGCAGCGTGGATAAACAGTGACAGGAAGAAAACGACAGGTTTATATATGAAAAATAAGACATTTCCTTTAATAACTTCTGTAACATCATGGTTGTATCCTGGTATCATTTTCAATATATTTGACGATGCAGTATACACTTTTATGTGGACATTGAATCGATTAATTGGCATTTATATACTAATACAACATAAAACTGCATTGTTTTCTACAAAGACATCATAATAGGGCACAAATGGTGTAGCAGCAAAAAAAGAGTGTAGGTTTTTTCTTTATACAGAGGCTACAGTAGTACAATGTATTTGCAGAGAAGAGATTCATTGCAAAGTACAGCTAAAATGAAGTTACAAATACATCTCTAAAGTATGCACTACGTCATACACAAGGTCACGGCTGGATATTAGTGATTATAAAATGTTATATAGTTTAGTAAGGGGTCTCTATAGGCTAAGACACTGGAGGCTAGAACAGGGCTACCTTTACAGTACAATGTAGACTGTGTACATACAAAGCACACTGATGTTTGATACTGACACAGATCAGGACATTTGAATAGGATATTAATATGTCCAAGCTGTATATCTTAAAGAGTTGTGATGTTGAAATGAAACTAATGCTTTCCGATGGACTTGTTGCTAAAATTAAAAACTAATTTGGTCACAAGAAATAACAACTGAAGCCCCATAAGCCCTCAAAAAGTGATACCAGCACCACAACTCTTTTAGGTGGAATGTCCTTGATAATAAGTCATACATGTCTGCATGAGTGGAGCTTTTTCGATCTGAGTCCATTTGCTCCTTCAGTTCTGCCTTCAACTAAATTTCTTTTTTTCCAGTGGACTAATGTACAGTATGTGCAAGTGCAATCTGTATTGGGGTTCAGGGATTTTTAGGCTTACCAAAACATTTGTTTGCTTGTTCCCAAAATGATCAAGAAATGAAGTCTATAAGAAAGAAGAAAGAAACTATAATTGCATGAGCACAAATAGCTGCAATAATTTTTAAAATTCATATTTACAGAAAATTAAAAATTTGGTAAATACGCTTTCTTACTGAGAGTTAGATGAAAAGAAGCTGCCAGTTAGCTTAGCTTAGCATAAAGACTGGAAGCGGGGTGAAACAGTTAGGTTAGCTCTGTCTAAAAGTATCAAAATTTTATATTAGCGCCTCTAAAGGGTAAAATTGATAATTTGCTGTTTATGTGGACTATATTTTAGCTAAAAGCAGTGACTTCCCACAGTTTCTGCTGGTTGCATGTTCATAGTTTGGCACAAAACCTCAACTTTTTCACAATATATATATATTTATATATATTAAATAAAAGAGATTAACTAGTGAGTTTTTTAGGTGCATCTATAAACATTGACTTATTTTTTACCTTCCGACAATCACTAGCTGTTTCCTCCTGTTTCCAGTGTTTATGCTCCAGCTTCATATGTACTGTGCGCTGTATCAATCTTTTCATCTAACTTGCAAATTGCAGAAGCGTATTTCTCATAGTGTCAAACTATTTCTTTAAAGCCAAAAATTGCCAGTACTTTGAAGCAACAAACACTTTGAGAAACCATCTCCTGTTCCACATTATCACACAGTGTCCAGGTCTGTACTCAGAGGACCAGTTCAGTGCTCCTCATATGAAAAATGCTTCCCTTCAGATTACTAAAACGCACATAGAAAACTCCTATAAGTTTGTCTAAACCAGTGATAATTACTACAGATCTGCTGCAGCTGCACATCTCTACACTGGAGACTATGCTTATTGCTAAATGTAAATAAAAAAACAACATCATTATCATAAAAGGTCTGAAATAACACAGAGAGAGTAACAACAATGCTCTAATACTTGGTCATTAATATGTTATGATATAGAGGTAGTGATTGAAGCATTGATTGACAGTAATAAACACTGAACAATGGACTCGAGCGTGGAAAAAAACAATTTCATCTCAAGAGAGTATAAATACAGAGCTTATCACACCAGCTACTAAAACAAAGTTCTTTTGCTCGAGGCTGACACACAAATAATTCAGACTCTGGACTTCAGGGAGACTACAAACATGAATGCTGGAGTTTAAAAGCTACTGTTGAAGCTAGGAAGTCACTGGTAAAACTGAGCACAGGACAAAGGGTCTGAATGAATCAAAAATAGGTTTAAACTCCATGACCCGCCATTATGCCTCCTGGGCTCCGGCTGCAGTCTGCCACGCTGACTGACAAGCTGCTCAAGACCTCATTCTTTCTGAAACAGTCGCAGTTCCAATCCCTGTTCCCACCCAGGAGCCAAGTAGTCGTGAACTAACATAGAGTTAAACCGTGAGATTCAGTCAGAATATAAACAAGTTATGTTCCAAATGAATAATACTCTTTCCATCCCAGCTCTAACACGCAACAAAAACAGCCATGTTTTCCTTTCACTGCACTGGGAACAGCTATTTGCTTGGTTTCTGTGTGCTGCGGACAACACTGCCCCACTGATTGTTTGAATTACACATTATAATGTATATAGTCTCCCATCTGTAGCCTGTGTGAACCGTCTCTGTTTAAATTCAATACATTTGAGTATCGGTTTAGATGCAGCGTGTGTATGTAGCCGGCCACCCAGCGTGACTCTTTGTGCAGACGGATTAAAGATGAACAGAAACAAAACAAAGACACATCCTGCAATATAGAATATCTTTTCAATCAACTTGACATAATTATAATAAAATATAAAACAGAGGCATATAATACAATATTAAATGAAGACTTTGCAGTAAATTGCAAATTTAAACAACTGACATATATTTGCACACTTGGTGTGGCACAAACATAAGCTTATGGCTACCTGCATTCATTTCACATTGTGTGTGTATCATGTATGTGTGTCTGCTATAGCACAGAGTGTGAGTGACTGTGTGTGTGTCTGCATCTGCAGTGTCGTCTGTGTTCCTGGTATTATAAGTGTGAATGTTTGTGTGTGAAGCAGTGGACAGCCGCCAGGCCTCATTATTGTCATTCTCCTCACTGCCTAAAAGAGAGGCAAAGCGGCTGCTTTCAATCGAGGAGCCGAGGAAAGATGGAGACAAAAGGCCCAAATTAAACAAATGCTGGAAAGCGGCTTGGAGAGCCAGCCCGTGGTCATACGCTTTGAATGAGAGAGAACGGCTGCAGGGATAACCCATCTGGGTCTTTCAGTGGCGAGACCACACAGATACACTCCATCCCAGCATTCAGCTCAATTATAGGTCCACGCACACTGGGGTGCCAGTTCATATGCATGTCCTATGTGCTTCTGGTATGTCTGAGTGTAGATGTGTTCATCTATAATCTGTTGCAGTTGTTTTTCAAATCCTCAGCACACAAAAGGGCCTTGACTTCACTCTAGAATCTGTCTCAATGTGCAGTTTGACTACGAAAAAAAAAAAAAACTTCCACGTAGGACACCTGCATAAGACCGATCCACTTCCATCCACTGCTTTTGTATAGTATGATCATTTGTGTTTCCACTGCTTTCTTGTATTCAAACTGCAGTCCAACCTCCAAACCACAGCAGAGCCGGGGCACTTTTAAACTGTGTGACTGTGTCCACCAAGAAAGAGTTTGTTTGAAATTCACTTCGACATCTCTCGTTTAAGTTGCCATCATGCTGCAATTTCATCCCTCCACTCATGGGATGGGTTTTGTGACTCTACATGTCTGTACACACATGTACATTTGGACTGACAGAAGCGAGGAGGTGGGATGATGTTTGGCTGCACGCACACACACACACAAACTAGGGCGCTGCTACGGGTTTTTGTGTGCGCTAATATTTCCTTCAGTCTGAGGTAATGGATGTCCAAGCGCCTGTATGTTCCATGGCACTGATGCTGAGAGTGGGCGATGAATCAGCAGGGATTGGTGGCAACAAGGATGTGAAAAGAAAGTGGGCGGACACATCAAGTCCTGATGGCATCACACCTGGAACAAACAATAAAGAGAGGAATGTTTCAGCGCAACAGACACCGAGCTGATTCTCACACGTATGATCGATTCTACAGTTGTAATTGTCCACGGTCATATACTTCTTTCCATCAATTTGGTGTTCAGTGTCTTACACAGTGTGTATTAGGCAGAGCCTGGTTCAGCTAAAGGTGCTTCACTGAATACATTTCTCTAAAGTTACAATTGCAAAAATGAATCCTGATTTAGATTCATAAATTATTTAATTTGAGTTGTATTCCCAATACTTTCAACGACTGTCTGTGTACAGTTGTGTTTTAGTTGCATTATTGGTATGTTGTGTGTGGACTGACCTGCAGCGGTGAGGGTTGAGCCTCCGGTTTTTCCGACTGCAGCTCTCAGCTCTGATGGTGCAGAGGCACTGACAAGACGTCGCATCCAGTGCCCACTTTCTCCCTCGGCAGGGGCGGCAATGAGGACTTGGAGATGGTGACGGAGAGGGAGAGGGGGAGATGCTAGTGGGAGGAGGTGATGGAGGAGGAGGAGGAGGAGGAGAGGATGGGAGATGAAGAGTTGGGGGAGCATGGGTCCTGGATGGAACAGGGGTGTAGGAACAGCAAAGTTACTTGAGAGTCTACAGCCGTGTGAGCCGCCCTGTGAGGCTGTTAGCTAAATGTTAACATCAGCATGCTAATATGCTCACAATGAGAATACTAATGTTCACCCTGTTAGTTTAGCATGTTAGGATGCTAATGTAGAGCAGTGGCTGATGGGAATTAATTAGTTTTGGAATAAACCAAATTAAAGATTTGACCTGTTGATGGCGCTAGATGAAAAGTTATGAGATCACCAAAGTTTTGAATTGATCCTATGGGGACATGAACATCTCACTAAATTTAATGACAAACCTTTCAATAATTATTAAAATGCTTCATTTAAAAACCACAAACGTCCATCTTACGGTGGTGCTACAGGAAAGGTCGGGGGATCAACATCCAACAGTTGTGATATTTCAGTCTGGACCGACAGACTAACTTTGACACAGCTGAAGCCAACTATGGGATCAATACAGGCTCTAAGAGATTTAACTATTTTGCCATTGATCCCAAACCACGTCTTGAAAAATTAAATGCAGGGCTTGTTTAAAAATGCACAGTGCCAATCTGAAACAAACCCACTCAATGCAGTGTGGGGAGATGTGTGACTAATGTGGGATACTGTTTCCTTAGCTGCTAACAAACTTGCTGCTCTTTCTGTCGGTCTGTCTTTCTGTCCGTTACCATGGCTATAGGCTACAGTTTCTCCTCTAGACGCTCTGTACTTTCTCAGTCTGAGAAAGTTCTCCACGTCAGCTGGTCCATTAACTGGAGCTGGTCCGGCCTCCGTTTTCTCGGGAGTCTGGCAGTCTTAATGAAGTTACTTAATGAGGCAGAGAGGGGCCATCTTTGTTCAGTTCCCGATGACCACGCCTGCCGCTGGCATGGACAGAAGGGGTGGCATTTGGGAGCAAATTACACAGATTTCACCCCTGCCAGAGTCTGAATAAAGCCTGTTCTGAGTGATGGATGGGTGCTGAGGGACATCACACCCAAACCGAGCCACCTCTGGCCCCCGGAGGCCGGAAATGACTGACAGCAAAGTGAAGGGGAAGCAGATGAAGAAAAGAGTGGTGAGGAAAAGAGTGCTATCTCTGTTATCCTTCCCCACTCAGGACTGAATCACGGTACATGTAGCAGAAAGACACACATGCCCTAAACTCACTTACAGATCACTAACAGGTTAATAGTTAAAAGTTGTTTTTGTCCTTGAATATTTCTATCTGACCTTCTTCACAGTCTGAGCCGTAAATGATGTAATATATAAATGTCATAAAACTGAATGAATAGTTGCTACATACTCTATTGTTGCTTTTATTAGGCTTACTAGTCTTTTGTGTTTGGTGAAGCACAGAGGTGAATCCCAGGAGTGAGCCTGATTTCCCGTGTGTGTGTGTGTGTGTGTAGACGTGTGTGTGTGTGTGTGTGTGTGCGAGACCTTGACTGTTGTGGCTGTAAAACAAATAGTCCTTCAGTAATAATGTAGACCAGATAACCTATTTTTTTTCTAATACAAACATTCACACTGATGCTGACGTCAACTTAGAGGTTATAACAATTTAAAAATCAAATGTGTGTACTGAATAATCAACATACGCAGCTCCGATGGCTCCAGTTGTCTTCTGTCTGGACTTTCCTCTCTCCTTTTTCTTGTCATTTCTTGTTGGCTTCAGAGAGGGTCTGTGGATATCAGACACACAAAATGTCACACACATTAACCATTTCTTTTTATATTTATTTGGTAGGGACAGATATAATATACATAGATAACTGCATAACAATTATCAAATGCAATGTATCACAGGATTTATAAATATGAATGTATTCTTAGATGAACCAAATGTTCCAGCTGAAAGTTTGTATTTCTTTACTTGTTCTTTGATCTGACAGTTTCTGATTTAAATCATAATTTTGCCAATTTTAGTCTGTTCTCTATCCAGGCAAAGTTCTGGATAATTTCTTCTGAAAATGAGGTTGGCTTCTTTCATTTGAAATCAAAATGGTTTGGTAGAAACACAAGTTGATATCAGGTTTCACATTTGCACTAAGTTATCCGAAAATGTCAAACAATACTCAGCCCAAGTCCCAACATATTCCCAGTATATTTCATCTCAAAATGTTGTTTTCACAGATTGCTTAGCTTTAAAATAATGCACTAATATAAACATTTAAGCCTCCAAAAAACACAATAAATCTCCTTTTCAAAACAGGAAGCTCACAGTAGAGTCAGCAGAGTGTTTTTCAAGTGAGTTTCACATAATGGACATTGTATTTAATTTTTAACCTCAATACAATAATTTAAAATCATTTGTCATTTGTCCTATGATATCATACAGAAATACAGGTTCAACATTTTTCTCATATGATATAGTTATTAATATTAGTTAAAACATTAGGGAGATTGTCTTTTAAAGTATCAGAGATCCAATTGTAGTGGGTATTTTAAAGGCTTTAGGACCAGAAGTTAACTAAGTACATTCATATATTGATCAAGTACAGTCCTGAGGTACTGAGGTATTTTAGTTTCATGCTACTTTACTTCTGATCCACTACATTCATCTGAGAGCTTGGGTTAAAAGTTATTAAAAGTATGGTTTTGGTGGTACTGCTACTTTTACTCAGGTAAAACATCTGAATACTTCTTCCAGCACTGTGTAGGACAGGCCGCTGACCAGAAGGCTCCAATAATTGTCAATTACTGTTTAATCACATTTCCTGAAATAAACAGAAATCAACGAAGAAGGAAAAACAGTGTCATCAGTGTAGGCTATCAGGAGAGAGAGACACACCCCAAAAACATGCAGAAAATGTCACTGCTCTGGAAACATTATTTGCTTTGCATTTGTGGGCCACGTCCACACTGTCTGTAGATTGCCAAGCTCTGTCCACTATAGTACGCTGATCTCTATCCTCTTTATCATTTTGAGTGGCCAGCCTTTATTGAGCACAATCTATTTACCTTGATATATGCTGGTGCTCTCAAAGTGCATCTGCCCTCTGCTTTACTCTTTGGCTTTCCTGGTTTAACCTCCCTATCTCTCTGTTCTAATCCCATCTGCTGCAAACTCTATCAAACTATATCAAATCATGGGCACAGTGTTAACCAGCTTAGCTCTGACATTATTAACAGAGTGTGCTGCTCTTGTTGTCTTTGGAGCTCTAATTTACTATCATGGATGCGTGACACTGCTCCGTCAGTCTGTGAGAGAGCACATGGCAGGGGAGATAAAATCATCACTATGGTGACAACAGGATGCGGGCCGTCCCAGGGGATGCTGGGAGAGAGTCACACAGATGCTAACTCACTGTGGGGCACACACACATAAACACACAGAAACAAATATTCACACACACACACACACGCAAAGACTTTCACACAAATGTATACTAAAACATAGAGAATGTACACATGTAGACACATACAGAGTGAAAAACCAAACACACTCATATGGACACATGAATCCCAAACAGGGTAAAAAAAAATAGAGTTGTACACACACATACATTGGAATTCTTTATTTATGTTCACATCCTAACAGGAAGCACGGGGACATAAACATTAAAGATGCAATCATATGATTGTCTGGTTGGACCTGCCAGTATGAAGTACACAAACAAAAATGTTCCTTTCACAGTAGCTGTTGGTCCTTCAACAAACCTGAACAGCACAGTGTCTACCACCTGAACATATACAACATGTATATTGACCTACAGTCAACTTCATTTCAAACTTGTTTGCCATAAATAGATAAACAATTACAGTGAACAATTCATGTTTCCTACAGTTTTAAACTATGTCATGAAGGCAAAAAAGTTGCATTTGTGTTGTGGGATAATTCAGTTGCAACAAGCCACTGTTTGAGAAACTCTATGATGTGATGTTGTATTAACAGCCTAATTACAATTAGTGTCCTATTTTTTATTGGACTTTTGCTGTTTAAATGCACCAGTCAAACAAGGGTGAGTGTGTCAATTCTTCACTATGTTCAATCATAATTAAATCTGGAAAGAAAACACTGACTTGTTTCATGGACTGACAACACATCAGTAATGTGTGATGATGTGAACTGGGTAATTTCTTGCATTTAGTAGTGAGACATGGGCTGGACAAGATGTTTGAAATCAATGAAAGCCTGCAGGGCTCAGATAATGAATATGAGAACAAGTAGCTGACACTAAATGTAACCTCTTTTCAAAGTCACTTCTGGATCCTTTGGTTGTTTTTGACTCTCCTGACTACCTCCTCATCAGCAGAATTATAAGAGCATCATTAGGCTTGACTAAACAGAGAGGGTTTTATAAAGTCATTAGAGACGAAGGAACATGAGATTTCACAACAGCAGCTCACTCACACACAATGAAACATAAAAGATAAGGATAGATTAAACAAATGTTACCTTGTAGTGGCTACTGGCTGAAATTGTTCTTTTAATCTGCACACAGATAAAACAGATGGTGTCAGTGTAAAGGTGCAATGAGGTCAATAGACAACAGGTATATCATACAGCTCTGAGCTTTATTACCTGCATTCACACTGGCTGTGCTCGATGAAGGGCAGCTCAATGAGCTCATGTTTCATGAAGGAGGTTCTCATCAGCTGCGCACAGATCAGAAAAGAATCATGTTAAACATCCTCTCAGAGTTTTCATTAATCCTGTTCTACACTGAAGCAGGTACGGGTTTAATTTGTGCGTTTACCTCCATGGTGAGTGTGTGTGTGAGCGAGGGAACGCACTCCAGGGCCTCGTCAGCACAGCAGCCACCACATCGCCTCAGCGACACGCAAGACGGGACAAAGAGATGGTGTGTCTCCCCTGGCAACTCCCTCCAGACCTCCACCAGAGTGTCCCGAGGCTCACAGCCACTCCGCGAATAAACCTCCAACCACCGCCGCACTGGTGGACAGACACAGATCATGATTTTGTTTATCAGCTCTGTGAAGTAGTGCAGGACTCGCTGTATGAACAGGGAACATACCTTCTCGACCTTCCCTGGATTTTGGGGAGTCTGCTGGCCGCCAGTGAGCAAGCTGGAGGAAGTAATGAAAAAGTTAATGTGAAAAGCTCTGTTTCAATAAGTTTAGGGTTTCTGGGTCAAGCTGACCTGTTAGATAGAACTCAGCATTGTGCTTTAGAGTCATGACGAGTGGTAGCAAAACCTGGGTTAATTAGTACTTTGCTATGTTATAATCAAAGAAAAAACTACTTTATATCCCTAAACTATCCTCATATATATATATTATATATTGTAAATGCTTTCTACAATAGATTTCTGCAATATATAATCATTTAAACCTAAAAACTTTCCTGCAAAAATCTAACTAAAAGCCTGAATGTATCTGAGTTTATGTTCCACCAAATGTTTTTAGATGATATCAAAATATAACCTTTGTTTGCCAATAAGAGCATGAAAAATAAACGTTTAGTCAAAAAAGGTTGCATTAGAAACAGAGCAATGGTCGTAAACACATGAAGTACATACTCCCCTCACATGCTACAAAGCATTCGTTTTAATTATTATATTATGATAGTCATTAAATTAAGTAATATTGATGTTACAAATGTGTTCGATAGTGTAATCTAACTATTGAGCGACTGCCTGCACCCTCCTGTTTAACATTGTTGTAAAAAGCTGCTGCTGGATATCAACAGATCAGACAAGTATTTCCTGTTAATGAATACCACAATATTTCACACCTGGGATCTGAACATGAAAAGCTCAATAATTCATTGTGATAAATGACAGGAGGAAAGTGAAAACTCTGAACTTTGATAAACATGCAAGAGTGTAAGAGCATGCCTACAGTAGTATGACTAAGCTAAATCAAACATCCTCCTTTAATATTATGAAATATTTCCTGTGCGGATGGAGTCCATTGGTCCATTTGAGCACTGAAAATATCTCTATGTTTCTGAACGGGTTGTACCTGCTACCTTTGCCCTCAAGTCTATCACCTGATTATGGTGTTTGAAACACTTTCAGTAGCTCCGCAGAGGTAGATAGAGAGAGAGTATCTGCCACTGGATTTCTCAACAATGGACTGTTAGAGTCAGTGTGCAGCTGGGAGTTGAAATATTATTATTATTATTAATTTATATAAAATATAAATTAGACCACCTGCTGCGTTGTTTTCTGGTACAGATTGTTTGTTCTGACGTTTGTTCTGAATCCAGTATTTTATTGACCTCTTGCTCATGTTGTGTGTGTGCAGTTTACTCTCACATACAGTTTCCTAAAGTCACATGTGTGAGGGAAAAACAACAGTGGTGGAAAGTAACTAAGTACATAGTAGTTACAGTATTAAAGTACTTCATATTTTAAACTTCTACTCGACTTCATTTTAGAGGCAAATTAGTATTTACTTCACTACAATTATTTTACAGCTGCGGTTACTCATTCAGATTAAGATTTACCATTAACATATAATAACTTCATAAAATACTTTGTATTGTTAAATATTAAAACAGTGATTACAAACCTTTTAGCTTGTGACCCTTTAAAGATAAAAGCAGTAATAATCTGGGCCCCTTGTCATGTTTCAGATGATTTGTTAGCAGCAGTTACACCAAAGAGAGATGTCTCGTCTAAACTCCAGACAGTTTTATTGATAAACTGTTTGAGGCCCAAAGAGGCTAAATGAACACATAGTTCAGAAAAGTCCAAAAATATTTGATGTTTTTTGTTTTGTCTTCTTTCCTCTGCCAATATTATCTCAGGATGGGTTGGGAACCACTGGACTAAACTACCTAAACTACAGAACGTAGCTCCACCTTGACCAGCTACAACTGCAAAAATGCTGCTTACACACTGATCAGTGATTAATGATCAAATATTGTCGTATATGATAATATATCAGTCACAGGGGACATTTTACTGCAGAACAGGTGCTTTTATTTTGAAAACTTTTGGTATATCTAGCTGATAATACTAGTATTTTTACATAATGTATTGGTAATTTTGCCTAAATAAAGGATCTGAACACTTATTACATGGCTAAAAAAACACACAGAAAGAGAAACTCAATTTTATAGCTCTGTAACACACACACTGCCATTAATGGACCTATGTGTGTGTGTGTGTGTGTGTGTGTGTGTGTGTGTGTGACCAAGGCCACTTGTAAGGGAATGTAGACTTTGTCCAGTTGCCCCCCCTTGTAACTGCTCCACCCCCTTTCTACCCCCCCACTGATTCTGAGTTAAGCTGGGACTGAAGCCATTTTGTGACTGGTAGCTTCAGTAAGTGTGTCTTTTCTGTATCAGTCTTTGTGACGAGGATAAGATTACCTCCTTTTTGGCAGCCATAGCTGAAGGGAGCTGGCACACACACACACACTCCTGAGTCCCATCCCAGTGCCATCTGCACTGGTATTGATGTCTGTATACTGTCTAACACGTCTAACTCCCAGCCACTCCCAGAGCACACTGTACAGATGGGCCAAGTGTGTGTGTGTGTGTCTGTGTGTATGCCCTACAGCTACACACCATCTCCTCCACACTGAGCGTCATCACTACAGGAGGAAAAGGATGACCCCTTTTTCACATAAGCTGTCAGAAAAGCAGACAGCATGAGGGCAGAGTCTCAGGTGAGAGACAGCAGCTGTGAGCAGGTGAGGAGGCCGTTTGGTACACGCTGCTGTGTGCCATGTAGTGTCTAGGATGATGCATCAGTAAAACACACAGTATACAGCAGCACGAAGTCAGGGCTGGATCCCACACCGCTGCAGAGCACTGCCTGTTCCTGATACAAGTCTCCAGACATAAATAAAAAACCAGCACATGCAGGTCTCTCTCCATGTATGTGTGCCTGCCACTCTGTGTGTGTGTGTGTGTGTGTGTGTGTGGAAAATGAGCCCATATGTCATGTCAGTGCAATCAGTTTATAATTTCTTATGAATGATAACTTATAATAACCCTGTTTTTAAATAACAAAAAGATAAATGTTCTGCCATTTTCTAATGTGAGGTCTTTAATGTATTAGAGTTCATTTGTGGCTTAAGAACTGAAATGATTAGTCGATTAATCTATTACTCAGTTTGCAGAAGATTAATTGCCAACAATTAAAAATATTTTGGACTTCCCCTTAGTCTTTAGAAACATTTTCAGATATTTTACAGACTGATGAACTAATCTATTAATTGAAAGAAGAATCCACAAATTAATCAATAATGAAAATAATGGTTAATGGCTTATTTCCTAATGTATAATAACACTTTAAATATCAATTAAAACCCATTAATAACAACTTTTATGTTGTCAGGTTGTAGAAAATCATCTCCCAGCATGTCGCTTTATCTTTTTAGCAAACTCTTTAGTTAATTGAAAGACCCCTCGAATTGATTTGGAATAGTTTAAGGAATAGACTTTGGGGAAAACACAGTTTTCTTGCACACAGTTAGATGAGAAGAAGTTGTTCTGCAAACAGGAGCTAACTTCCAGTCAGTAGCCGCTTAGCTTAGCTTAGCTTAGCTTAGCTTAGTTTAGCAGAACAACTGGAAACAGCTGACTTGGCTCTGCCCACTGTTACAAAATCTCCCTCCGCTGCTGAAGCTCACTAATTAACACTCTATATATTATTTTTCACAACCTTACAGAAAACTAGGTGTAAAACCGACAATATAACCGTTTTATGGGGGCTAATATGCTAATATGCTAATACGGGCTATTTCGCCGCGGACCCGTTGCCAGGCAACCAGCAGAGTCGTTTTAACAGTTACTGTTAGTTTGTTGAACAGATTAAAACGAGATAAAACATCTGGATTAGTGAGTTGTATTCATGTCTTTATGCTAAAATAAGATAACGTCGTTTCTTCTCATCAAACTCCCGGTAACAACGCGGGTAAGCATATTTACTAAACATAACGCAGTATTCCTTTAATTTTAAGATTGTTCATGATTTGACTTGTGGTCCTGTTGTCCTGCAGCCTTTTAACTAAAGGTAAGTAGAGAAAAGACTATTGGACCGGGTCTTTAGGAGCTAGTGCCATGCTGGAGGAGGTTTCCTACAACTACAGAGAGTTAGTGCATAATTATAAACTGTTAGTATGTAACGTTAGAGAGAGGACACAGTGAACACCACAACGTCTCTATACAGTCATCAATAAACACCACAGACAGACAACCACAAGACAGAACAGACAGCCACAGGACAACTACAGACAGCTACAGACAACCCAGACACCACAGACAGCCACAGACAACTACAGACAACCCCAGACAGCTACAGACAACCCCAGACAGCTACAGACAGCCCACAGACAACCACAGACAGACAGACAGACACAGACAGCCACAGGACAGCCCAGACAGACAACAGACACAGACAGACACAGACAACCACAGACAACCACAGGACAACTACAGACAACCCCCAGACAGCTACAGGACAGCCACAACAGCCACAGGACAGACAGACAGACACAGACGCACAGACAGCCACAGACAAACTACAGACCAACCACAGACAGCTACAGACGCTAAGACAGCCACAGACAGACAGACCAGACCAGGACAGCTACAGACAAGTACCAGACAGACAGACAGACAGACCAGACACAGACAGCACAGACAGCACAGACAGACAGACACAGACAGCCACAGGACACTACAGACAACCACAGACAGCCACAGACAGCTACAAAGACAGGCCACAGACAGCTACAGACAACCACAGACAGACAGGACAGCACAGACAGCTACAGAACAGCCACAGACAGCTACAGGACGCTACAGACAACCACAGACAGACAAGACAGACACAGACAGCCACAACAACTACAGACAGAAACCACAGACAGACAGACACAGACAGCCACAGACCAACTACAGACCAACCACCAGGACAGCTACAGACAGCTACAGACAACCACAGACAGACAGACAGACACAGACAAGCTACAGCAACCACAGACAGACAACCACAGACAGACAGACAGACACAGACAGCCACAGACACTTACAGACAGGCACAGACAGACAGACAACCACAGACAGACAGCAGACAACTACAGACAACCACAGACGTACAGCACCAACCACAGAGCAGACAGACAGACACAGACAGCCACAGACAGCACAGACAGCTACAGACAGCCACAGACAGACAGGACAGACACCAGGACAAGCTACAGACAGCTACCACAGCCACAGACAGTACAGACAACCACAGACAGCAACAGGACAGCTACAGACAGCCACAGACAGACAGACAGCCACAGAAGCTACGACAGCCACAGACAGCCACAGACAGCTACCAGAGCTACAGACAACCACAGACAGCCACAGACAAAGCTACAGACAACCACAGAAGCCACAGACAGCCACATGACAGCCACAGACAGCTTACAGACAGCACAGACAGCACAGACAGCCCAACAGACAGCCACAGACAGCTACAACAGCCACAGGACAGCTTACAACAGCCACAGAACAGCCACAGACAGCAAGACAGGCCACAGACAGCTACAGACAGCCATTAACTTCATACAGGGACATTAAGTGAATCACTGGCCCTTCAGTGACAGGTGTCATTGACCTCGGGGGATAACTTCCACAACATCCCACATGTTTCTCCACCAGACCAAATCCATCCAAAGAGATATTACTTTATATATAGACATATATAAAATATATGTCTATACTATATAGTAATATATATAATACACACACCACACACACACACACATATATATATATATACTACACCATATAAACATATATATATGTGGTGTGTGTATATATATATATAAATATATATATATATATATACACACATATAGACATATATATATGTGTGTTGTATATATATGTCTATAAGCTCATATAGCTGATGGCAGGCTGACCACTTTACACACGCAGTCTTAAGGTCAAATACATACATACCTTGGCATGGGAAGTCGGTATTCTGGTGAGCAGCAGGAATTGAAACATTCCTAGAATAACTTGAAGCATAATCCCCATTGTGCAGGAGTCCAAGGGGCACGCAAAAAATATTTTTGGACCAATCCAAAAAAAAAGAAAAAGGAACAAAAAAGAAGGTGCTTTGTCCGGCTACGGCTTTCCCTTCGCCGATCAAAGGTCCGATTAAAGACGCAGAAGACCCGCTGTCACTCTCCGGTCTCCCTTCCTTGAGAGGACACCCATGGTGGCATCCTCAGTGTTGGAATAATAACTTTACCTTGTTGCATCTGAGCTCCAGTTATTGTCTGAACTACAGCCGGACTCCCAACATAAAACTGTAATTAATATAATGAGTGAGGGTCTCAAACAACGCTCCCTCCAGTCATTTTAACACACAGACAGAACATATGCCATTCTCAAGAAGGCCTAATAATCTAACATCTAGCCGTGGGAACAACCTTAAATCCGCTTAAATGTCACTGGGACTTGTTTAAACTTTGAGTGATGCCTCCCTACATATATTTCAGGGCACCGTCAGTCTACTGGTCCTGATCCCGTGAAACCGGTCCTGAGGTCCGGGATGGCGTGATTGGAGGATCATCCGGATTCCCGCTGAAACGTGGTGCGATCATAAAAATCCTGTATGACTAAAAAAAAAAAAAAACCACACAATCACATCATCCAGCTACAGGACGTTTATCCGGTGAAGCCCCGCCGCTGCAGCCCGCCGTGCAGAGGGACGGTGCCGCAGATCCACTCCCCTGCTCGGTCACACACTGAAGCTCCGTCTGAAAATGTGACGTTTCCTCTCCAGGCGCATCTCCCCGGTTTCTTCTTTTTATTTATTTATTTTATCGTCTTATAAATGAGCCTGGAATAACATCGTCCGGTGACACGGCAGTGCAGCTACAGTGGAGCCGGCAGAGCAGCACGTCCGCAGACAGGCTGCTGGAGAGGCGGCAGTGTTCATTAGTTGTTGTGATCGGTTTCCTCATTTCCTTTGCCCTTGAGACGCACGCAGCGTAACCATTGCGCTGCCAACTTTTTCCGAACAGGACAGGCGCACTGGATACAGGTGCAGCGTGTCTACTGGTCCCAAAGTGGGGGGGTCGGGGGGGACCCCCAGGGGCCCCTTTGCAAGTGGGGAGAAGGGCTGTAGCTGCCACGGAGGTCACTGAGGTCATGTTCTCCATATTATTTCTGGAAATGTGTTTTTTTAGTTGAGCCATCTGCATGGGATCATCGTCTACTGCTGGTTTATGTATTCAGACAGCTGAAACCACCTTTAATCTCATTTACTAATTTAAAACTAAAAGTTTTTATAACTGTTTAAGAAAAAAAGTCAAAAATGAGATAGTGGTTCCTCCTGAATCTTCACTGGTTCTCTTATTCCTCTATAATACAGCAGAGGGAGTGGATTACAGTAGTGAACTGAGTATCTTTGGACTGTTGGACTAAAAAAAACTATGTGAAGATTGTGGTCAGGATTTTTACTTATTTTCACAATCAAAGACCAAAACGATTAATTGAGTAAATAATCAGAATAATTGATAATTGATAAAATACTTAACTGCAGCCTGTAACTTCATAATCCACAAATAAATTCTCTTAATATTAAATCATCTCTTGGAAGTGTTCTTAAATGTTATGGCACTTATTATTGGATACATAATCAGAGCAAAAGGATTCAGAATGATCAAGCTGTTTTAATTAGGAACTGTGTGTGGAGCCAAACAGACAACTCAACATGATGTATACGGAGAGTAAAGCTTCTCATGAACGAATGATGAATAAATATTTACCTCAGTTTAAACGGAGCACTTCTTCCTCCATAAATCAACAACCTTGTGTCTGTCTGGCAGCTAAATGGAATTCAGCCCTCATTACATTTGATTGTTTTCACCTGCTCGGTCAAAAAAAGGCTGTTTGCCCTATAATTTGTGGCCCTTTTAAGTAAAGTCTAATCTTAAATGTATAGAAAATATAGTTAACTGAGAAATTAAAATATGATAAACCAAGTGTGTTAAAGTCTGAGGGCCAATTTGTTATTAATGATTCATCGTTTCCCATTTAATAAATCAGAGCGCAGACACACCGAGTTTTATTTCAGGGCATGATTTGACACTTCTCCTCTGCAGCTCGTTAAACTAAAGATAAGTCAATTAAAACTGTCTTCATAGAGGACTTTCCTTTGTCGTACTACCTTTGATATGAGGCCTGTCTTCCATCAGACTGTGTGTGTAGGTACGTTGGTGCACCAGAATCTCAGCCATTACGATGTGTTTGGGTTATGACAGGGCACTCACACGCCACATGAGGGTGAGGGTGTCTGTGAGCTACGATACGTTATCTCCCGCTGAAGTCTCAGGACAGGAGCCGCAAGAAGACAGGAGGAAAGAGGCAGAAAGAGGCAGAAAGAGGCAGTAACTCACAGTAAAGGTCAGCTCATACGAGGATTTGTTTAAAAAGAAACGAAGCCTCTTTTCCATGATGTCACCAGCAAACAAATGTCGTGTTCCCTGGATGTTTTCATGTGAATGTAAATATGCAAATAAACATTTACTGCATCTGTAAAGTCAGTTTTCAGTTAATCACATCTGCTGCTCCAAATGAGATTAGAGGTTTAATGGAGAAGTTCACGTTCACAAAGTCTGACCACAGAGATAATGGAAAATAAACTTCTGAATTCTGAAGTAGGGCAGATAAATAATTATCTAATTAAAACAGCACTGACTGATCTGTGTGGTTGCTCATTAAAAGGCAACGGCCTACATCTGGAGGTCTCGCTAACTCTATCTGTAGAAACTAATTTCACTGTAGAAACATTGATAAAAGGTTAATAAAACTCAGTTTTTCATCAAAAATAGTAAGAAATAAAAACTATAAACAAAAACGCAACGTCTGTTTCAAGAACCAAACCACGTGTGAATGAGAGATGAGACAAACGGGAAGAAGTGATTGATCAGAAAAAGTTGTTCTTTTAATCTGTCCGACATCCCTTTGTGAAAAGAAGTAAGGCAGTCAATACAGGAACAATGACAACAATCTATAATATCTAAAAACTGAGAGGCAAAATGGTAAATGTTGGCTCTGGGGGAACTTCATCTGTAATTTGCACATTTTCATAGTCTCAGTAAATACTCAGCGTCACTCTTTTCAAGTCTTAATATTGATCTTTTATAGATTCCACGTCTACTGAACGGAGGAACTTTGCACTTCTACAGTAACACAGAGGCTCAACAGATGAAGCAATGAGCAGGTAAGATCCACAACTGTGAACACTTTGGTTGGAAAACCGTTATTACTGAAACTTTTGACTTAAGTTAAGTTGTTATACTGCAGCCGCCTCATTCACCCCCCAAACAGGCTCATCAGACCTGAGAGAACAATGTGGACAACCCAACATATGACTTTAATCAATACAAGTCTGGGCTGGAAACTCGTCATCTTCACTTGATCAACTCACCTGTCTTTATCTGACATTAACTCACTGTTATCTGTGAGCCAGAAATGAGGCTGAGGACAATAAAAAACATTCTGCTGTGAGTTCATTTGAGGCAGAGAAAGTGTTCATTGTGGCTACGAGAGGTTTGTGAAGGCTTATACAAATATATCCGCAAATGGCAGAGTCCATCGCCAGTTGTTCGCCAGTTGTTTGTTGCTGTGAAAAAGGTCTCCCTCCGAATAATGATTGAGAGCCGTGAATTAAGGTTTAAACATATCACCCAACCCATGCAGTAGCTGAATCCTTCTGTCACATCACTTCACACATTCTGCAACAGACCAGTCCAGTCTGAGATACAGTTCAAGCTTGGTCATGAAGAAACACTTGTATGAGGAGAAGAAACCCTCCTTCATCACACCCATGTGCCCCCCTGTGCGTCTTCAAGTGAGGACAAACACAGACAAAAACTTTAAAATCCTAAAACTAGTTCCACAACCAGTTCAAACTCCATCGTCACTGAGCACAGCTGGAGACTCCCCTACTTGTCCTCTCCATCGTTGGGCTTCTTGTATTTCTCCAGAAACTCAGCATGTTTCTGCCGCAGGATTTCTGTCTGTTTCTTAAAACCGTTGGCCCTAAAGAAACAACGCAGAGGACACCTTCAGACTCAACTCCAAAAACACACAAAACACACATAAACTGACTGTAAGGGTGCCCGGTTAGCTCAGT